AGACTTTGGGCGTGGGATCTAACCTCTGAATTTTTACATCTTTGAAATATTTTACTTATTTGCCACCATCTACAAAATGCCAAGTAATCAGCAACAAGAGGGCTACAGCTGTAAAATCTGCTCGAAGGCAGACAATTCCCAGATGGTCTGCTGCGCTGATTGCGATTGTTGGTTTCACTTTGGCTGCGTGAACGTCATAGCCTCGATTGAGCACGTGGACTGGCACTGTGCAGACTGCTCAGGTTCTTTATCAAGAACAATGGTAAGAGCGGGAGAAAATAAAGGAGCTTCAAATAGCACGCCAGCTGCAAGGCCAACTAAACGGCAAGAACGGACAACCGCATCTAATACTAAGCGTACGGCCGACGTAGGCACAGCCCAAGTGACGAAAGACCTAGCAGACCGCGGAGCTGGTGCCTCCATACGTAGCAGCGCAAGCAATAAGTCAGCAACGGCTCGCCGACTATATGCCGAAGCAGAAATTATTGAAGAAGAGCTGCAGATTCTACGACGGAAGGAGGAGTTGCTCAATAGGCGCAAGAAGCTCTTGTGAGAAATAGAAACTGAGGACGAATGTTCTAATATGGAGGAGGATTTGGACGCGATCGCGGTACAAAAGTGGCTTGATGATACGGGACCCACGGTGCCCACCACAGCGTCACCGAAAGTATCCCCCACGGACCGCCAGACTCCAGCTGACCCACACAACGGCGCCACTGCTGCCCCTTTGCATCCAAAAGATACACTGGATGGTAGCAACAACATTCAACGTCATATCAGTCCGATGCGTGAAAAGCTCTCCATTGTCGAGAAACTAGTGCACACTCAAACGGCTCATGGAACAGCTACGCCGTGGCTACCAAAATTACTGACCAATAGCCCAGCACAACTTTGTGTTAGTCAAATTGCAGACGAACACGCTTCGACGCAGCCACAGCCTAATCGCTGTCTTACGAAAAACCAACTTGCCGCACGCACCAGCCTCGGTAAAGATTTGCAAAAATTCAATGGTAAGCCGGAAGAGTGGCCCTTGTTTATGGCCTCCTACCAACAAACAACGGAAATGTGCGGGTTTTCTGACGCCGAAAACTTATTACGCCTGCGTCAATCACTAGGGGGGCAGCACTGCATTCCGTGAGAAATCTATTGCTACATTCTACCCCTGATACTGGAAACTCTAAAAATGAAGTTCGGTCGCCCAGAACTTATCATCGCTGTGCTACTGACTAGGATACGTGAAATACCAGCAGTGAAGGAAAACCGACTCGAGGCCCTGGTTGATCTAGCGTTGGAGGTTCAAAACGTGTGCGCGACCATGAAGGCGTCGAACATGTTGTGTCACAACCCAGAGTTAGAGCAAGAATTAGTTAATAAACTACCGGGACTGCTAGCAGCGTTTTGGGGTATGCACAAAATAAAACTCTTCATGCAACCTCGAAAGCTTTGCGGACTGGCTGTTTCAACTAGCCCAAGGGGCGAACAGCGTGCTCGTACCTTGTACCCCCGCGAAGTCTACTGCCAAACGCGGCTACTTGAATGCGCATGCGGGTAACGTCAGTGTGGGGAGAAATGGACCGTGCATTGTGGTTCTCTTGACTCATGTAACACATTCACGAGTGCAAATAGGTCCGAACGGTGGAGACGTATACGCCAGCATTCCATATGTCGTCGCTGTCTAAAGGTGCACCCCCGCCTTCTGTGCGCTTCTACTGCCGTATGCGGAACGGATGGTTGCGTTTCGATTTATCATCCTTTGCTTTATAACAAGTAGGCTTTACCGGTCAGCTCACCACTCGCTAACCATGTGCTTAATTCTCACGATGGTGCAACTGACTCAATTCTATTTCGGATTTTGCCTGTAACGCTCTACAATAACAGCAAAATGCTTCAGACGTATGCCTTCTTTGATGATGGCTCTTTGCTCACGCTTATGGACGTTGAGCTGCAGGAGAAACTACAAGTGAACGGCGCCTCGCAACGTTTATGCCTCAAATGGACTGCTAATACTCACCGCTATAAGGACAACTCCCAAGTACTGGATTTAAATATTTCTGGAGCCTATACTAAAAAACGTTATGTGCTAAAAGACGTACATACAGTGCGGAAGCTTGAATTACCAACCCAGACGCTCGACGCACGCGATTTGCAAACCAAATACTCATACTTGAAGGGCTTACCATTGCCCTCCTATGTAAACGCTGTGCCCAAGTTGCTAATTGGCCTCAACAATAGCCGTCTAGGCTTAAGTCTCCGCGCACGTGAGGGCAGCGATAGCGAGCCGGTAGCCGAAAAGACAAGTATGGGGTGGACGCTGAAAGGGATTACTGGAAAGCAGCAGCAACGTTCGGGGTATCATGCATTTCATACTTGCGACTGCGACACAGCCGCTGACGCTGAGCTACTGCAAGTGGTCAAGGATTATATATGCTTAGATAACCTCGAAGTCACGCAAAAATTCAACAACCTGATGGCTAAGGAGGACGAATATGCAATCGAGCAATTGAAGTCAACTACGAAACGCATCGACGGTCGCTTTGAAACCGGCCTTATTTGGAAGTACGCTAACGCCACTCTCCCGGATAGCCTACCATCTGCTTTGTGAAGAGCTAAATGTTTTCAGGCAAAACTCGCGCGTCACCCGGAACTTGCCAAAATTGTGTCAGGCAAGATTGCAGCCTATGTGGCCAACGGGTACGCCAAACCTCTAGATGACGGAGCGTTATCGGAAAAGGGGTGCTGGTACCTGCCGATATTTCCTGTACGTAACCCAAATAAGCTGCAAAAGTTTCGAATCGTCTGGGATGCGGCCGCTAGAACGAAGGGAGTGTCCCTCAACTCGATGCTTTTGAAAGGACCTGATCAGCTTACGTGCCTGGTATCTCTCCTGCGAAGGTTCCAGCAGAAAGCAATAGCTGTGAGTGGGGACATCCAAGAAATGTTTCACCAAGTCAGGATACGATTGCAGGATCAGAACTACCAGCGTTTTCTGTGGTTTGAGTCAGGAGCTGTTAAGCCGTCAGTTTTCGTGATGACCGTGATGACGTTCGGGGCTACCTGTTCACCTAGTAGCGCTCAGTACGTGAAGAACTTAAACGCGGAAGAATTTCGCAGCAGCCATCCGAGGGCCGTGGAGTGTATTGTCGGCAACCACTATGTCGACGATATGCTTGACAGCGTCGACACTGAGGAGGAGGCCATCCAGCTGGCCAGGGACGTAAGTTTCGTTCATGAACAAGGTGGATTCCATATCAGGAACTGGCATTCAAACTCGGAGAGGGTATTGCGAGCGTTGAAGATCAACAATATGGACCGTAAAGTAAGTTTAAACTCTGACCAAGAGATACCAGCCGAGAAGGTTCTAGGCCTATGGTGGGCCACTCAGGAAGACTGCTTCACATTCCGCGTGGCCCAAAATCACAAACACAAGAACCTGCTTCTTAATGACCGCTGTCCAACAAAGAGAGAGGTACTAAGAATAGTCATGAGCATCTTCGATCCGTTAGGGCTTCTCAACTTCTGCGTCATTTATGCAAAAATAATGTTGCAGGAAGTTTGGCGATCTGGGTGCGGGTGGGATGAATGCATTCCCGAACAGTATTTAAGTTGGCAGAAATGGGTGAGACTTCTTCTCAAGATAGAGACCTTAAAAATACCGAGATGCTATTTTAAAAATGTGGAGTGTGGGTCCGAGCTGGAGATGCACGTCTTCGTGGATGCCAGTGAGAACGCTTATTCGGCTGTATGCTATCTTCGCCACAACAACAAGGGAATCGTCGACTGTGCGCTATGGGGTAGCAAAGCAAAGGTGGCACCGTTGAAAATGCTATCAATCCCGCGACTTGAGTTGCAGGCTGCGGTTTTAGGCGCTAGATTACTCTCAGTTCGTTGCGTTCCGAGTAAGCGAATTGTTAGAGCTTACGGAGGTGAAGGATTGGCGATGGCTTCCTTCACTGCAAAATGTGGCAGACGACGCTACCAAATGGTCCACATCACCGGAGATATCTAGCGAAAGTCGATGGTTCAGAGGACCGCACTTCTTGCGACGGGAGGGAATACACTGGCCAAATGACATACACTGAAACAACCTACGAAGAGCTTAGATCTCGATATGTAGGTTACCATGGCGCTGCCCTACCACATCACGAGTACCTGGCAATACACGAACGTTTCTCTCGATGGTCCCGCCTTCTGCGTGTAACAGCAACAGTATTTCTAAGTTTTCGTATCTGGACGCTCTACCGCAAATCAAGCCCTTCGCTTCGTCGACTAATTGATCGAGATGACCTTAAGCGCGCCGAAATAAATTTGTGGAGAGAGGCTCAGTCGGACGTATTTGGGATGAAATCGCCGTACTTTCGAGGGGAAAACCAGTAAGCCGAACGAGCTCTATATATAAGCTTTCACCGTACTTGAATGAGGTCTCCGTCCTACGACTCAGTGGCAGGGTCAGCCTGGTAGGGCATCCGGATCCAGTTATATTGCCTAGAAACCATAACATAACTCGCCTGATTGTTCTGGACTACCATATCAAGTATCCCCACGGAAGCGCAGAGACAGTAGTAAATGAATTACGGCAAATTTTGTACATACGTCGACTACGAGCAGTGGTCAAAAAGGTACGTCGTGACTGTCAAGTATGTCAACTTCGCAATGCAAAACCACGACCACCGAAAATGAGCTGTCTACCCCCGGCACGAGTAACAGCATTCGTTCGTCCGTTCACATACGTGGGGGTAGATTACTTCGGTCCTCTACTAGTAGCGGTACGCAGGAGTACTGAGAAGAGGTATGGAGTGCTCTTCACATGCCTCACGACGAGAGCCGAGCACTTAGATATAGCTTATTCGTTGTCTACGGATTCGTGA